GTTTCTTCTATGTCTCATTCAGCCAGTATTCTTGAGAAATGAGGCTGGCTGAGGTGACAATTTTGATTCAGTTGGGAACAATTACTGTACAGACCGTGTTCTCTTGGCATCACTTCCCACACAGAAACCTCTGCCTGCCTTGAAGTTCTCGTGTAGGTACCTCCCAACCACTGTAGCAAAATTTAACACAAAATGTAATGGAAGGGAAAGGTGACATTTATATACAAAGTCTCTAAAAAAGCTGATTTTACCACTGACAACCATCCTGCCATTGATTTAATTCAGCTGTGTGCTCAAACCCGCTTAATGAGAAGCACCAAGATGTGTGTGCTCAGGTGGCCTGGTGAGCATCATGTGCAACACGGGTCAAGGTATGCCAGCTACTGAGTCCTCATCCTGTCTCTGTGGTTCTTCTGGGTCAGAAATTACAAGCCAGTTTATGTACAGATCTTTTACACCCTTTAGGAGTCATCAGCTGTTATGGAGAGGTCCTTTGCCTCATCATCTTGCTTATTTCAGCAGCTCTGAACCCTAGGCCAGGTTGCTGCCCACTATCTGGTTTTGCTTGCTTGGGTTATACAAGCTATGTCTACAGCCTATTTTCTGAGTAAGCAAACAGGAAAAATAGTGGAATAAGTGATATGCTGCAACCTTTGACTTTAGAGAGCCCTTCTGCTTTCCTCTGCTGACAAGTCATCTGTGTTGTCATCGTACCGGAGTGCAGGCTTGCTGGTTTTGACAGAAACAACACATTCCTCAGTTTCATTGCTGATAATGGTAACCTTTCTTGTCTGTTCTTCTAACCATTTGCTGTGCTGTTTCTTCTGGTGACTACACACACACACACATTTCCATTTGTATTCTGTTCATATCGACCTTAGCAATTTTGAAACAAATCTCTGTATGATCCCTCCAGAGCGGAACCCTACCCTCTACCAGAATTTTTCCTCCCAAGAATAAATTCAATCTAGTTTGCAATTTATTGCTTCTTACAGTGTTAGCATTTGACAAGTAAACATATTTCTAAGTGCTGGCCAGATGCAGACAGAATCAACACTTGGCTTTGCCAAAAACTAACCAAGTTGAAGTAGTATGAATTTTATTATCTTCCTGCCAGATTTCTTGCTGACATCCAAGCATACCGGAGTTGTCACAAAAATGAGACTAGATACTCTACAAAAGCAGAACACATGAAGCCAGGCTTCTGCATGGTGATGCATTTGGTTGGATTTTTCTGGGTTGCAGGAATTCTGACACAATTCTTCTGAAAAAAAAATGAGTTTAATTGTCTATCTAACTTTCTGTGGCAATAAGCACTGATATCAAAACTTAGGTAGATATTGCTGTCCCTTCTGATTCATTCCAGCACTCCACGTTTGTAGAGAACAAGAAAGGGATCCTTGGAGTTATGATGTGCATCTAATGTATTTTTGCTGACTACTCTTTGAACTTTCAGAGCTTGCTGCCACTCCATACACGCCCTTCCATACCACCCACGTACTAATATTCACACATGTAGATTTGAAATGGAGTTCCTCTGGTTTATGTATCTTCAGCTCACTGACAGGTTGTTTACTGGAAGGGAAATTCCAGCCCAGGTACAGAGAGTCATGTACAGTGCTGGGGGAATGGTGATAGCCTGCACATACAGACATTTAGGTATAGTTTAAAATCTTCATGGCTCAGCCAAAGAAAAAGAGACTGTCACCCAACCTCAGACAGATGCATATGATTGTTGGAAGCAAAATGTCTTATGTCACCATGACCCTTACATAAATTAGTTGATTCAATTCGCTTTCCCTAAACAGTTTTACTACTTCCCAGTAGCTGGTCTTGAAAAGGCTATTCAGGTTTTCTAGTTCAACAAATTACACTTGAGCCAAACATGCTTAAATCAGTGTTAAGCACAGACATAAATGTTAATAAATAAATAAATAAATATTTTAAAAATACAGTTTAATAGCTTAACATAAATAATTTTAATTATGTACTTGCAAATACATTAAAGAAGTATTGATCTTGATTCCATTATGAGATTTAGTCTGAGCTTATTTCAAGCAGGAACAAAACTTTCTTATTTTGAGTTGAAAATACTGTGTATTTTATCAATTATTGTGTGGGAAAAATACTAAATTCTGTAAGAATTTTCAAGAAAAGTGTAATACCTTATTTGAATTTGTGCAACTGGCCTGAAAAAGTTGCTTGTCAAACCTTCAGTTGTACATTTTCTATTAGAAATACCATCTTACTTCCCTCAATAATTGTGTGTAGCTCACTTCTCTGTCTTCCTCCTTTTTGTTTTCAGACAATGATCTGCATTTAGGAGATGCTCTTGGTGGGGGTGAGTATTCTCTTCTTTTCTTAAATACAATTATTGGGGGGTTTTGTAGTCTTTTTCTGAAGACTGCTTGATTTGTGAGGTGATGTTTCAAGACTGTAGGAAGAGCTGTACAAACGAAAGTCATTACAGCTCATGAAGCTGCAGCCTTTTTGCCAGAGGCCATGATTCAGAGGGTGGATAGCAGGCTGGGCTGTGCCTGATTGCCAGCTACAGGAGCTTGCAGGTTGGCCTGCCTGCCTGAATTAACTCAGCTTTGTTTACTTCACCATGTCATGGCTGGGGAGAGGATGTACTGCATGTTCAGCCGTGATGGTTCAGGTTCTGCCTCTGGCAGAAGGTTGAAGACAACAGGCAATGGCAGTAGTTTCTGCAGCTACTAAAAATGGGTCTGCCTAAGATTAGGAATCAGAGGTAACAGTGGATAGAGAGAGGTGTGAGTTTGTTGTAGCTCTGCTGATCCCAAATCAGAAATGCAGGAGGGAATGTTTCAGAGGTGAGCACTGATGGACAAGATACAGCTTAAGCTTGAAGCAATCAAGCTGTTGCAACCTGCTATGACTTCTGGTTGTTTCTGTAACACCCAGAACTGACCCAGGAAACATTCACTGTCCTGTGCTGAGCTCTGTAGGCACATGAAACCCTTGACTTTGGGAAATTTTGCAGCACATTTTGTTTAATGTGTTTAGAAGTATACGAAGAATGTGATTAACTCTAGAAAAGACACAGAAATTTTCTAAAATGCAAGCAGTATTGAATCAAAGCCTAAAATTCCACTTCAATCAAGGCTACAAAAAAGAAAAAAATTACTTCTCAACCCATTTCACAGAAGCTCTGAATTATGACTCCAGATGCAGTGGTCTTGTTTAGTCATGTTTCAGTCTTAGATAATCATAAGTTGCATATTATCCTTTTCATTTCCAGGGCTTTTCACATTTCCAGGTTCCACTGTGGCATTTTTGTGCCTGTGTTTGAATGACATGTTAGCCCACATTTTATAAAGCTGAATCTCATTTTCTTCATAATCCTCATCTTTATACTGTCAATTCTTCCTGCCTGTACTAATTGTTCCATTTCTGTAAGTTTTTTATGGGTATTTTTACAAGAGGATATGTTTAGTATGTTGATTAATTTATTAATGAATACCTTAAGTGTCTTCCATAAACCCCCGCATTTCATTTGGAGTATGGCAAATTATCTTTCCCTCAGGTTTTATTTCTTTGCTCCATTTTCAGTTCAGGTTCTTAATTGACATTTATGTGTTGTGTAATAGGATTAAATATATGTAACCTTTTTTCAACACCTCTGTAGACATTGTTTTTTTTCATAGAATCATAGAAGCATAGTTCCAACACCCCTATCATGAGCCCGGACACTACCTACTAGACCAGGTTGCTCTTTCTTTTCCAGTATCTTACATATCTATAGGAAGATATATAGAATATATCTGCTTATGCTTGGAGAGAACTGAGTAAAGTGATACATCATAATATAAATTGACAATGGGATTGGTAGTTTTCTGCTCTTGTGCCATGGTGAGTCTTAGTTTGTTACACACAGTTCTGGAACAGAACAAGTCTCTTTTTCTGTTGAATAGAATTAATTGGGCAAAGTCTGATTCAGCAAAGCTTTAAGACTCTACCTAAAATCCATTGACTGCAGTAGGATAAAACTAACCTGAAGTTAAGCATACACGTAAATAATTTGCTGAATCAGAACCTAGATGTTACTCACACACAGAAGAACTATATTTAACAGCTAGGCAAGAAGAAAGCATGATAAAAGGGCATCTGGCAAGATTTACAAAGAGATAGGGAAAATAGTATTTATTTCTGTGACCAGCTTTGATTTATTCAGAGCTAAATTTACTTTCTGGCTTGAGAACAGTTAAATATGCAGTTGAACTGGTTGGAGAAGGGATGGCAAGAGAGGACCTACTCTATCTAAGTAGATCAACAGCACTGGGTGGTAATCTTGGCATTTTTTTACCTGAGTCAGCCCTTGCTACTCCAGCACTGTATGTGCAGTTTGGACACTGCTATTAGTCATCAGATCTGCTGCTGTATCCAACACATCTCTTCCTAATACTTTGCCAAATATTAAGGCCAAACACCAGCCCAAAGTCCTAAATGACAAAGCTGAAGTGTGAGTTCATTTTGCACTGTTCAAGAGTAGAAAACTTAATGTTTTCAACAAATTCAGCATTTGTTAGATGAAACTAATCTCCAGATTTTAGCAATACAACTGATGGCACAGAGATAACCTGTTGCCTCCTGTCTAGCCCACACCACCAGCTTCTCTGTCAGTTCTCCATAACTGCACCACTGACACCTACAGTGACACACTGTGCCCCCCCCCCACTGTCAGTATTAAATAATGTTGGTACTTCTCAGAAACACAAGAAATATTTTCCTTTGACATTCTTGTGAATTTTTCTGTCATTTTAATTTTGAAACTATTCCCTTTTCACTCCCTAATTAGTTTTAGTGCCTAGCTATGTGCTAATACAGTGCTTGAGATGTTTTAACTAGTGACAAGGTCCTTCCCTTAGTTCACCAGAAGACAAATTAGAAACAGGTAGAAAACCTCAGGTTAATATATTCTTTACTTCAACCTCGCAGTTTTGCCTGTCCAGCCATCTAACAATATTGATTATCAATAGGTGACATCCCAAGAAAGCCTTTATACCCACCTCTTCCTCCACGACCGGGAAGCTATGGTAATTCTGGTAAGAGAATTTTCTCCTATGGAAATCTAGCACTATGAGCTGTTCAAAGCAGGTATTTTTAATAGTTTACTCTTCTATCTTTATTAATAGTTTTTATCATTCCTTCCCTCTATCTGCCTTTTCTTATCACTGTTACTGACCCAGTGTTTGAAAAGATTTTCTGAGTTTTGGTGTTGGTATCAAAAAGCTTTTCTGTCTGGTGGGATGTTGACTCCTAAATGGCATGAAAGTGACACTCAACTTGTTTGCCTTTTCATTTTGGGTATTTATACACTGAAACATCCTAAGGTTCAGACTGGACATCTAGCCACAGGGTATGGATAAGCCTATTCAAATCCATCTGAGGTGGCCCTGGGGCATACAGCACATGGGACTGGGGAGATGGATGTAAGCTTGTACTGCTTTTGAGTGTGGTCCCAGACACCCACTTAAATAACATGGAAGAGGCACATCTATCTCAGCTACCACTATATATCCCATATTTACTTCTGGTATGATTGTAGTGGTGAGCTGTGCACAGGTCCTTCTGGAGTCCTTCCGCAGTCTTTTCTGGAAAGGATGCACTGACTTCCTTTTCCAGGAACCACTGGGATTTGAAATGTCCATATTGTAGAAGGATTTGTGCCACTGAGAGCTCAAGCCCAAACATCCCACATGTGTCAATGCAGAGGCAGAATGGGCAGACACCAACAGTTTTAGTACTACATCTCCCAGGTGAATTTGAATTGGTGACCATTCAGTGCAAGACACCTGACCCGTCATCCATCAGAGCTGGGATTCCAAAGGTCCCTCACCCTTTCCTAGTACATTACAAAAAGACCGGACAAGGATGATGAAGGAGTTACCACTGATCAGACAGTTTTGCAACAGAAATTCTAATCCTTATCTTGCAGGTTTTGATGACTCAGATCTCCTTGATGGGAAGCCTTTACCACCTCGCATAACAGGTAGTATTTGTCAATTCTTGCAGCTTTTTTTCTCAGAGGTGCCTGGTGGCAGTAATCTGTTTGTCATTGAAGGTATAGGACAAGACAGTTATTTTTATTTAGATTAGCTATCCTTCTCCACAAACTATGGCTTTGAGCCTGAAGCTCAACCTTGAAGCATATTTTTTAACATTTTGTACCACTCTGGCATATCCCAGAACCCTGCAGGTTTACTCCCTTTGAATTCCACTAGGACAGTCCCAAAGTAAGAGCCTTCTGCTGAGAACTGAAAGTAGATACTCCAGACCTATAATCTTGACTTAAATTATTGATACATTTTCTGACTGGCAGTGGAGAATAGTCAGAGGATATGGGCCTCCCACTCCCTGTGAAATCAGTTTGATGTAGACTGCTAAATACTATCCTTTATTTAAAAGATCATGTTCTTCTCCAAGTATGGTCAGGAGGATAGACAGTTATTCATCCAGCCATAATGGCTGTCAGACAGGAGTGGAAGGGAAGCTCCTCTCTCAGAGTTCTGCCAAGCCACACCCTTTCAATTTCTCTATGAAATCACACTTTGCTAAGTAAAGACTTAGTTCTCAAAACAAGATTAAAAACCTTTCTTGATGAAAATTCTCTCTCTGTTTCAGGAGAAGGGGAGCATAATTACAATTATGGAGGAAACACAGGTATAGTAAATAATTTATTCCACAATTTATTTCTGATCATCACAGAACAGTAAGAAAATACTAGCCTTTTCAAAGTAGTCCATGTACTAAATTAGGCTTTGAGACGTTGTTTTCACACTTGCTGTAATGCAACATAAATTCTAGTCTTCTGCTTAATTCTATTGAATGAATTTCCAGTGTTTCACCAAAGGTCATAGTTTGGCAAAAGCACGCCTTAGTAGACAATATGCTCAAGTCACACTGTTTCAGCACCTCTGAAAAAACTCTCTCTCTTCTTCCACAGATTCAGGATTAATAGCTGGAGTTACATCTCCTATAATTTCTGCTTTTGTAATATTAATTGTTGGATCCATAGCTGCCTACTCTGCTTACAAGAACAAGAAACTTTGTTTCAAACCACAGGGTAAGACCAAACTGGTTTCCAGCTTTCGCAGTTGATTTAGCACTGGAGTAGATGGGAATTTTGCAAACAATTTCAGTGGGGCCAGAAAAAGTGTCATGGATGAGGTAATTTGAAAATCTCATCCTGAACAACCTCACTGGTCCATACGAGATACTGGTAATTAATATTCTTCATCAAGGACAAGTATAGGAAGCCATAACATGCCCAGAATATGAATGTATATCACTTTATGAAGGGAATTACATGATGTGATGTCTCTGCTGTTGATTGTCGTGGCTCTGTGTGTGGAAACTAGTTTGCATGGCTCAGATCAGCCTCGCCTGGACCACCCCCATGTAGCCTCTATTTGTGGCCACCATTTCAGCTCCAGCCTGTGGGCCTCCTGCCCCGTCCTGCACCACATCCCTGGCACATCTGCTCTGGCCATGAGCCTGGGTGGTTTGCTGGGTTTCCTGGCTTACACTTGGGTGGACTGGTTGCCTTGTCTCTGTCTGACAATGGCTGGCCCATCATCCATGGGGGCTTATTTGCCATCACCACCCCTCTGTCCCTGCCTACCACCAGGGAGGTGATGGTCTGGGCTCCTCTGCAGCTGCCCTCAGCATCCAGCTCTTTGGGGACAGCCTGGCCCTTGCCCTGATAAGCCACAGAGGTCAACTTCAACCTTTAATTCCTGTGACTTGTTCTGAAATAACTAAGATGTGAGTGGAATGCAGGCGGTGTGGGGAGAAGCTTCACAGGCATTTCTGAGAGATCTGGGATGCCCCAGCTCTTCAGAAAGCCCTGGCCAGGGGCTGCCAGAGGGGGCTGCAGGGTGGCTGCTGCTTGCCTGGTGCCAGGGCAAGGCTTGGGCAGGGTCACACTAGGGAGATCCAGCTGGAGCACGGCCAGGAATGTCCCGGGGGAGGCCAACCAGGGCAATGAAGGCTGCTTGTGCCCTCAGGGTCTGACAGTCACTTCTTTTCCTCTATGTCTATGGTTGGGGTGTAACTAAAGCATCAGGTCACTGATCCTGCAACCTTCTGGATATGGGGAGAGAGAAATGGGGAAGGCTGTCCATACCTCTCTGGGGAAACAAGGTTCCCACCTGCTGCCTCAAAAAGACTGGAGCAAAACAAAACAGCCCAGAAGAGCTGGCAAAGGGCATCCATGGTGGAAATGCTGAATGTTCTATCTGTGTTTTTCAGGAGGGGCAGCAGTGTAAACCGCTGAAAGAAGAGTTACCCTCTGATCCCAGGATCCTTTTGTTGGTGACATGCAGTCCACAGATCTGACAACTTTTTTCTACTTTATCATTCTGACAAAAGAAAATCTTCCTCTAGTGAATGATATATTGACACATTGCTATCCTATTGTCTTTTACCTGATGTCACTCTGCCACCTTGGGCTTTACAACATCAAAGATGTAATTAAAACATCTAGGGATGGTGTCAAACTATCAGAAGCAATTTTAAACACTGAATAAATCATACTTAATATAAGTAAAAAATGAAAAGATTTTGGGTTGTCAGCCTTTGAGCCATTGAACAATTTATTATTATTTTTTTGTTTTCAAAATTAGCCAAAATATTTGATCTTTCTAATTGATTAGGAATAAGGAAACCTCCATTTTCATTCACACGTTTGGTTCCTTTAGTATATTTCTGTATTGTCTATAAGGCTTAAGGAAAACAACATTGTACAAAAGGATTAACAATTTTTAAAATTTCACTTTGTATTTATGTCTAATTCTAGTGAAGAGAAAGGAGTTGTAGATGGAACACTCATTCTTAATTTAAAAATACAGCATGAAAAGAATATGTACATTGATGAAGAACTGTTTAAAAAATAAAAATGAGAGAAACACATGCTGATTTTATCTATCTATCTATCTATTTATTTATTTATTATGGAAATGTTGTTTAGCTCTTCTCGGGAATTGGAATTTGATGTAAACTTTGTTTCTCTTCTTGGAAACCTAGGTCCTGCTCTAGGAGCCTTTAAAGACCTTAATCTGGCAGGCTGTTGTTTTTTTTTTAAGAACCATATCATTCATAGTTTGTGTAAAGGAAAATAGGGACAAAGTTTTCAGAATAATTTAGAACAAGTCTGTGACATTTTTTCCTATAAAATCCACGTTGTAACATTAATGTTTAAACTTCATACATATGCAGAGGTATGGTTGATACAGTTTTGCTAGGCTGCTCCATATTTTTCCCCTGTTCCTGACCAACCTTGCTGTGCTAACAAATGTTCTTATGTAGACACATCTATCAACAAAACCTAACACTTTTCCAGTCTCTCTGCCTTAATTTAGCTAATGAATACTATGAAATTAATGCAATACAGATGAAAGCTGGAAAAACAAGTAGTTCAAGTAGTTTACTGACATTGTGCAATACAGCCATTTTAGATAACGTTTCACAGCATAAAGGAAGTCTGTGCTTTCATCTTCACCTTATATATAAGGCATACTTTTTCTTATTGAAATTCCATGTAGTTGGAAGAAAACATGAATTTGTGTTTAAGTTGAGAGAAGGATAATATCTGAAAAGGTATTATTTTCATAAAATAAAATCCTATTCTATCTAAATCGTATTTGGAATGGGTATACACATACAAAGCTGAGGAAATTAGAGTGATCCTGAAAGTAAAAAGTTATAATGTACATCAGTTTAAGCACTGAAACATCTTGACAATGCACAAACAAATGAGCACCTTTGAGGATAACACTTTCAACTTATGAATGATCACATATTTTATAAACAGTTTTCAAGGACACTTGATATTTCTTTAAGAATAATAATTTTCCATGTTAATAGTTAAAAGAGATTGATATATATTTTATCAGGTAGACATACAGTTGTGATCCATGAAATGTTAAAGCATTTTCTGGTTACCAAATCAGTTGTTTGTTTAACAAAGAAAAAAAATATATATATATATTCGTTTCTTCTCTTGAAAATGTTAAATAAACACATACTGTGTTTTATCAAAGATGATACAATTTTGTTTGTTTTGTTAGTTACTTTCTGGGACATTTGCCAGCAAATACCTTTTGTATACAAAATCAGCTCTAGGAAAGAGAAAGACACTCTTCAAATTAAGGACTTTAGGAAAAAAATGAAAACAGCTGAAGAATATTTTTTCAGGAGCAGTGTCCAGAGAAGAATCTATGTGCATTATTAGCATTTTTGCTTCTGAAATATGACTAGGATTTATTTGAACTTGTTAATAGTCTTCTCTTAACTGTGTTAATATTATTAGCCAAAAAACCCCAGATTTTTTAATGAAGAATTTGAGCAAAACCCATGAACCTGAATTGGTAAACCCCACTCACCTAAGCATTTAACATTCTGATACTCTTCGGTCTACACATGACCAAAATGTCAGGCACACTTTACAGTGTTAATTTCCCTTTTAATTAGTATGATGATGGTGAGAATAATAATAATAATTTTATCATTATTGTAATTATTATTATTATTATTTTGAATAACTGGGGGGTTGTGTAAGGAAGTTCTAACACACTTAAATCCAGAGGGGAAGGAAGGAATATAAACTGACTGTTAGACCAACAGAACTCTCACTGGTGCTACGGGCTCTGACATTTAAAATCTATTCTATACTGTGCAAAAGTTGCTGGCACACAAATAAAAAGGAAAATAATCTAAATGCAGACCTTACTTTTATTACCAAGAAAATGCTTTTGTTGATTATAAAGTCCCTCAACTCAAATAGATCTGCCAGTAAAAATATGAATAACAGTGAACCTGCTCTCGTTTTGTTTAGTTGATCATTCTCTACAGGCAGATGATGAACACATTTCCTGGGAATTTTGTTTCTAGGAGACAGTAAAGTTTGATTTCTTATTAATTTATGTCCTTCCTTCCTTCTTCAACACCTTGCAGAGCACCAGAGCAATGGCATCTTCTTGTGCAGTGAACCTCTAAGGTTGCAGCTTGTCATGGCAAAGCTGATAACTTGCAACTTGTTGGAAATAAAGGTTTAAAAGGTTGAGTGGTTATGTGCAGTTATGTGCAGTTTCTTCAGTGGCACGGTGTTGTAAACTGGTGCTCTCTGCTAAGGAGTTACTGATGTTCACAGAACACTTTGATGCAAAAATGCCTTGGCTGAACCCCATCAGCCTAAAACTACCTTGTGGAGACAGCATTGTGTGTAATGGTTACCTCGCTGCTAAATTACTGGCAAAAACACTCTGTGTCAATAAATGCACATGTACACACTTGTGAAAGTAACACGCAGCACTCTGAATAGTGTGAGCTCTCTGAAAATATTCATTTCCTTATCTGGGTGACAAGTTACCTGCCTGTTCATACACATAGGGGTTATGGTGACTGCAGAGAAGTTTTGGGGTAGACTCCTGTAATCTGTGGCGAATCCCATATTATTGGAGTCATAACACTGGAGTCGCTGTGCCACGATAAGCTGAGCTAACTTTTCCACACTGTGCAGTCTTCACCAGCAAAGACATTGCTACCTGCCTCAAAGGGCTGCACGGTGGAGGAGTCACTCCCCCTTGGAGGCATTTAAAAACGTGTAGATGCGGTGCTTAGCGGGTTAGCGTTGGATTTGGCAGGGCTGGGTCAGCGGTTCGACTTGATAACCTTATAGGTCTTTTCCAAGCAAAACGACTCTAGAATTCTATTTCCCCATCTTATCTTCCTCCCGCTCCGTTTCTGCACAGGAGCGTGTGCTGCAGCGGCAGGACCAGGGCTGGCAGGGCCAGGGCTGGCAGGGCCAGGGCTGGCAGGACCAGGGCTGGCAGAACCAGGGCT